AGTTCATAATAAAAGTCCTGCGATCCGCAACTCGTCTGCTACCCTGTGCGCAGGCGGTGGTTGTGCTGTGTGACTTCATTCAGATGACCCCGTTTCAACCCTCCTCCAGCCCCTCCTCCACCATCGTAGCTAAAGCTTCATCAGTTTCCTTCCTCCTGGATTCTTACTGCATTCCACGTCTCATTTCACTTCCTTCCCAATGGGGAGTTTTTCCTCTCCACTGTCGCTTCATGCTTGCTCATCATGGACAGGTTCTCTCAACCTGTGTTATCCAAAATGGATTTCCATCTTCCAGGTCCCTGAGTGAAGCTCTAGTATCAGCTCACGCAGTCCACTGGATCTCCCCATAAAGCTCAGGAGACCGTCTCTATAACCAGCAGTCTACAGACTGACCAACTTCATCTATCTCCACTCCACCACCAGTTTGAGACCTGGGGGGGAAACAGCCCTGTTTCTTGCTCCTGTTCATGCACTGGAAAAGATCCAAATCTAGATAAGTAATTTTTCTTATAATAAGTGCATTTGTTCTTAGATTGAGGATGTAAAATAGACATCTTGCCAATGGAACAAGACAATTTACACTTAAAATAAGAAAACACAATTGCATTGTCTTATTTCAAGTGCATATTATCTAAATATCTTTTTTTAAGAGTAAAAATACTCATTCCATTGGCAAACTATCTCATTTACCTACTCAAATTAAGGGTAAATACACTAAATTTAAGAATTTTTTTATGTATTTCTAGATTGTTTTTTCGAGTGTGCATATCTATCAAAATTCAGTGCTACACTGGAAAAATGATCTAAAAAATCTCTTAAATTGAGTGTATTTACCCTTAATTTGAGTAGATAAATAAGGTGGTTTGCCAATGGAATTAACATTTTTACTCTTTAAATAAGATAATTAGATAAAATGCACTTGAAATGAGACAATGCAATGTATTCTTATTTCAAATGTAAATTGTCTTCTTCCTTTGGCAAAATGTCACTTTTACCTCCTCAATCCAAGATGTTTTCTGCCGAGGTCTGAGCGCCAAAGAAAAAAATATTTGTATCAATAAATTTCTTCTAATTGTCTTTTTCCACCATGTGAGTTTTTCAGATTGAAATATGTTAGAATTCAGATTAAACCGATTATACAGCANTTGTATCAATAAATTTCTTCTAATTGTCTTTTTCCACCATGTGAGTTTTTCAGATTGAAATATGTTAGAATTCAGATTAAACCGATTATACAGCAGAGAAGCAGTGCGTGTTTTACTATATTTGTCTTATTTGAAATGTTGAGATTATAACCAAGTGAGCGTAGGAGCCCAGGATGGGGTCAGATAGAAAACTCTGAGATGCTGAAGGTTTTTATTTCTGAACAAAGCTGTGGTATTCAGTGACATTCAGAAGGTTCTTTTCCTTGTTTATGTCCCAGAAATGATCTTTTTAAACACTTTCTCCCTCCCAGCTGGAGTAAAGCGCAGGTCTCCTCCCACCACTACGAAGCCCTGCAAGCAGGAAAAGACAAACAGAGGAATCAGTTCAAATGATGATTAAAAGGCAGAATCTGAGTAGAGATTTAGTAACTTTCTCTTTATTACGAGTTTTCAAAGGGGCTAAATATGTAAACTAGTTTTTGTTTCTATCCATAACACTGTTTTGATGTTAAATAATCTAATATTGACAGACCTCTTGATAAGTTAAAGGAATAGTACACCCAAAAAATGATTAGCCTTCATTTTCTACTCACCCCCATGCTGAACAACACTCTGGAG